GTCAAAAAAACAAAAGATATGAGCTGGCGAGGGTGACTCACACCTGTAATCCTAGAACTCTGGGAGGCTGAGGCGGGCGGATTGTTCGAGGTCAGGAGCCTGAGCAAGAGCAAGACCCCGTCTCTACTATAAATAGAAAGACATTAATTGGCCAACTAATATATATAGAAAAAATTAGCCGGGCATGGTGGCGCATCCCTGTAGTCCAGCGACTGGGAGGCTGAGACAGGAGGATCGCTTGAGCCAGGAGTTTGAGGTTGCTGTGAGCTAGGCTGACGCCACAGACTCACTCTAGCCTGGGCAACAAAGCGAGACTCTGTCTGAAAAAAAAAAAAGATAAACATCTTGAAAAAGGTAAACCCGGTGGCCAGTGGGATATAGGGCAGGTACCTCACTTACTGAAGCCTGTTGTGTCCAAGTGAAATCTAAGGGTTAAGTGAGAATATGCAGGTTTTGAGGTCACTAGAGTGGGGAGAGAAAGAACCTTCTGGACAGAGGGCTATTACCTGTTCAAAGATCTGTCGAGGGAGGCAGGAAGGGCTCATGCATTCAGCACGGGAGGCAAAACATTGGGAGAGTTTAAAGATGCACAGGCTGCTGGGCATGATGGCCAAGAAGTGAGGCTGAGGCCTTAGGAGGGGCCTGAATCAGGGAGGTCCTTGGAAGTCAAGTAAGGAGTTTAGACTTGCTTTTGAGGTTAGTGGGACATTGTCAAGGAGGTTTTAAGCTGAGGAGTAGGGTGATCTGATTTGCTGTCACAGAGAGCTCTGGACTGCACCGTGGTGGATAAGCTATGGGTCAGGTCTTAGGGGGATGACTTGTTTTAGTGCCCAGAATCTGAACACCTTCCCCTTTGGAAGGTGTCCTATGAGCTACAGAGGCAGGCTCTGCCCTCCACTAAGGAAATCAAAGAGGGGAGGCAGAATTCCATCTCCCAGTTGTCTGGTAGCTGGAGCATGATTCCAGTGTTTCCAACCAGGTCTTTGAATCTGGAGCAAGTGATCAACACTACAACACTAGACACTGGGGGATCATTTAGAATTCATGTGGGAGGGGGGGAAGGGAGGCGGTCAAAGCCAGGTCCTTCCTGGGGAGGGGAATTCAGCAAGCACCCCAGAAACTGTCCAATCAGTTCCTTATCTACGAAGTTACCCAGAATTGGCTTTGCTGTTTGCAGCCAAGTATCGTAAGGCAGGTGGGAGACCTTTTAGGAGGAACCATTAGAGAGAGGAATGATGGTGCCCTGTGGAACTGGAATGAATAGGACTTGGCACTTGGCAAGGGGTCAAGAGAGGAGGCGTTACTTACTCTCAGGTTTTGCTTCTTCAAACCATTCTCTCACCTATAGCCAAAGTGATTTTTTTTTCTTTTAAGGGACAGGGTCTTGGTATATTGCCCAGGCTGGCCTTGACCTCCTGAACTAAAGCAATCCTGCTGCCTCAGCTTCCTGAGTTGCTGGGACTATAGATGTACCCACTGTGCTTGGCCTCCAAAGTGATCTCTTTTAAGCAGGAAATCTGCCACCAGCCATCTGAGATATGCAGTTCTAAGACTTTTGTCCTACAAATCAGGAGGACCTGGATTCGATTGGCTAGGATTTTGTTGTGTCCGACACAGGTTGTTGGGGTGTGGGCGGCTTTAAATAGACACAGTAGTCGCTCAGCCCTAGGATGACAGTGGCTTCATCGCACTACTGTGCTTCCACAATGGCAGACAGTAAACAGAAATGGGGCTCTTCTCCCTTCTTTTGGCTCCTTTAGCTACCTTTGCTGTGACAGTGGGTCCAGTCATCACCTGTGGCATGTGTCTCACACCTTGTAAACCTGTATCTTTCTCTTGCCCTATAATCCTATCTTTCTCTCCTCAATAAACCTCATTTTCGTGCTGCCTTAAAAAAAAAAATAAAGGAAGTGGGAAATGTGGTAACTCATACAATAGCCCTTAAAGCTTGCACTCAAAAGAGACACAAGTAATTTCTGCTCATGTTTCATTGGTCAAAGCAAAGCACATGGACACTTTGAAGGGCCAGGCTGTACCACACTACTATGGCAGATGGCATTTTCCAAAGACGAGTGTAGCAATACATTCTACCCCCCAGGTACTTCTGCAATATGACCTTGCTTCTCGCACATCAAGAGAGAGAGTTTAATTTCCTCCCCTTGAATTTGGTCTGACCTTAGTGACTCTCTTGTCATCAGTAGGCTATGGTAGAAACTTCGGTGCAGAGTGAGGTCTGAGGCTAGGTCGGAAAAGGCCATGCAGCCTGGTTCTCTCAAAATGCTTGATCTCCAGAAGCTTTCTCTTGGGCTGTTCGCTCCGGGTCAGCTGCTGCTGTGAGAAGCCCAAGCCAAACGGAGAGGCCACACGTGGGAGAGGCCCCAGTGCACTGTGGTTGACAATCCCAGCTGAGCACAGCCTTCCAGTCCCCGAGCTCCAGACCCATGAGTGAAGAAACCTGCAGATAATTCCAGCCCCTGGCCACGCAGGTGTCTCCGGCATTGTGGAGCCGAGATGGCCCTGCCTGAGTTCCCAACCTGCAGAATCTGTGAGCACCATAAAATAGGTGTGTTATGCCACTAAGCGTGGCAGGTTTGTTGTGTAGCATAGACACCCAGAATAGCTACTGCAGGCCTGGAAGGAGAATGCAATTGGAACTATTTGGTGAGCAACACTGACAACTGCCACAGACAAATTTGCTCATCTATGCACAGGCCATGCGAGGGACCAGAAAGGCTGCATGGCTCTCCGGCAAGGGGAATTAAGTGGCTGGGGACAGGAGGGACAGGGGAGGGAGGTTTTCCATCCTATATCCTTTTGAACCTTTAGTCTTGTATCGTGTGACCAGATTGCCTATTTTTAAAACAATCAACCTGACGCTGTCTACCTCTTCTGGCCCAGAACTCTCCAGTGGCTTCCGGTGGCGGACGCCCTCTTCGGTTGCCCCGGTGATCTCCGTCCGGAGCTCCCCTCGAGTGCGGGCTGGACCTACCGACTCCCTTCTGACGAGAGGAATGGGGCAAAGTGATGGCATCTCACTTCCAGGAGCAGGTGACGAAAAGATTGTGGCTGTCATCGCAGGTACCCTCACTCATTCCCTTGCCGCTGGCTCAGCCTGAGGGAAGCCAGCTGCCCTGTGGTGACATGGGAGGGACCTATGTGGGAGGGAGCTGAAGTCTGCAGCCAGCAGCCAGAGAGCGCCCTGAGGTGTGACTACAACCTTGCAAGGGGACTCGGAGGCGGGGCCTCTGCCCGGCCAGGTGGCGACGGCCCCAGCCGGCCCTTGGCAAAGCCCTGGGAGAGACTCCGATCCAGCGGCATCCGGTGAAGTAGTGCCCGCGTCCCCAACCCCGGGGAAACTGTGACACATAAACGTTCGTTCTTTTTGTCTTTTTCCTTAGAGACCAATGTCTTGCTCCATTGCCCAGCAGGCTGGAGCGCAGTGGTGCAATCTCAGCTCGCTGCAGCCTCCAACTCCTGGGCCCAAGTAAGCCTCCTGCCTCAGCCTCTGGAGTAGCTGGGACGTGCAGGCATGTACCGCCGTGCACGGCTAATTTTTATTTTAATTTTTGCATAAACGGGGTTTCTCTATATTGCCTAAGCTGCTCTCAAATTCCTGGCCTCAAGCCATCCTCCTGCTTCGGCCACCCAAAGTGCTAGGATTACGAGCATGAGCCACGGTGCCTGGCCACTGTTTGTCCTTTTATTTATTTTTTATTTTTATTTATTTATTTTTTGAGACAGAGTCTCGCTTTGTTGCCCAGGCTAGAGCGAGTGCCGTGGTGTCAGCCTCGCTCACAGCAACCTCAAACTCCTGGGCTCAAGCGATCCTCCTGCCTCAGCCTCCCAAGTAGCTGAGACTACAGGCATGCCCCACCATGCCCGGCTAATTTTTTCTATATATATGTTAGTTGGCCAATTAATTTCTTTCTATTTATGGTAGAGACGGGGTCTCGCTTTTGCTCAGGCTGGTTTTGAACTCCTGACCTCGAGCAATCCACCCGCCTTGGCCTCCCAGAGTGCTAGGATTACAGGCATGAGCCACCGCGCCCGGCTGTTTGTCCTTTTATGCTGCTGAATTTGGAGGACAATTTGTTAGGCAGTGATAGATAACTAATAGACTTCCCATTGCACTTAAAAAATACACCCACACTGCTCCCCATGAGCCGCGAAGGCCCCTGCTTCTCTCTCCTCCGTGTGGTCTCCCGCCCCTTCCCTCTCACTCAGCTGCACCCCGACCTCCTCTCCCCCGAGTCTGGGGCTGCGTCTGTCCAGCACAGCAGCCACCAGCCACATGTGGCCATTTAAATGATTAATTAAATAAAATAAAAAATCAGTTCCTCAGTCACACTGGCCACATTGCAAGTGCTCAGTAGCCACGTGTGACCAGTGGCTACTGTATTGGGCGTCACAGAGAACACTGTCATCATCACAGAAAGTTCTGCTGGACGGCGCTGGTCTACAGGAAGGAGTGGCTCCTACTTGTGTAAAGGCTCCGCTGTACCTGCCTGAGTGACTGGGGGGACACCAATGCCAGCAACCGAGGCGTGAAGGGTGGTGGGCCGGGTACCTTCTGGTCCTGTACCCTTCTCTTTGAACAGGCAGTTCTGCAACCTCTTGAAATCTATGCCTGAGTCTCACTGAAGAGGAGTGGGTGTGTGTGTGTGTGTGCCTGTGCCTACCCAGACACCGTGAGCAGACCTGGCGGCTCCTCACCCCCCGTGCCCACAGTCCAGCCGTAGAAAGAGGCCAGGGAGAGGACATGGTGCCTTCCTGCTCCCGTCTGAAGCAGTGGGCAGAAGACACGGAGGATGTGCAGGGAGAGCCGGGGGCAGGTGTGCAGAAATAGCCGGGAAGAGTGTGTCCACATGGGGAAGCTTCTTTGCAAACTTCTATGGACTGGGCTTCACCCATACACCAGGCTCTGCCTTTTCACGGGCGTTCCCATTCAAATACCCCCACAGGTCAGCCAGACAGCACGAGTGCCCATCCTTCCCCAAGAGGAGTGGCGATTCCGGGCCAGAGAGGCTGAGCTCCTTACCCAGCATGGCGCTGGGGGGCAGGGGCCAAGATGACATTGGCAGGTCTCCTGACTCAAGTCCAACGCTTCCCCACCCTGCTTCTAAGGTCATTATTTTTCTGTCCTTTAAGCTACTGACTTACACAGCTAATCATGAGGGGTTTGTTTTGTTTTAGGAACTTCCTGGTAACAGTGTATGAACTCTTGCATCAGTTAGGACTTTGGGTTGTGACTAAAATTGGGTTAGGCAAACAAGGAAGTTTATTGGTGCAAGTAACTGAAAAGTGCGGGTGGTGGTTCTGACTTCAAGTGTCTCTGGGTCCTGGATCCCCAAAGGTATCATTCAAAAATCTGTCCTTCCTACACCCTGGCTTGCTTGCAGTCTGTGCTGTCTTTGCTCTCAGGCAGGTTCTCCCTCTGAGAGAGGGAGGTGAGTGCCCCTCTCTGTTAAAGATGAGTGCCAGAAGCCCCAGGCTCATTTGCTAGGAATGTAGCAACCTTTATGGAAAGAGAAAGCCTTAGGCACAGAGGCTCACACCTGTAATCCCAGCACTTCGGGAGGCCAGGGCAGGAGGATCATTTGAGGCCAGGAGTGCAAGACCATCCTGAGCAAGAGGGAGAACCCACCACTACAAAAAATACAGAGCTAGACCCCTGTCTCTAAGAAAGGGGGAGAGGAAGAAGGAGAGAGAGAAAGAGGAAGAAGGAGAGAGAGACAGAGAGAGGCCTTTAGTTTGATGATGCCAGCAAAAATCCTGGGGCTGCCTCTCATTGGTTTGACTTGGGTCTGGTGTTCCAATCACTGAGGACAACCAATCACTGAGGACAAAGAGAGGTGGTATTCTGATTGGCCAGGTCTGGGTCACATGCCCACTCCACCCTCAGCCAAGGGATGGGGTAAGCTTTATTTTATGAATATTGATGGCGGGAAGGGATAGGTGACTCCCCAAAGAAACATCAAGGGTCATTACTAGAAGAAGGGAAAATGAATGCTAAACAGGGGAAAGGATAGACGTTCATTACAGGCTCTCAAATTATGTTCCGCAGCTGTAGCCACCTTGAATTTTCTGGAAGTAAAAGAAAGAGGCAGTTAGAATTGAGAGAGGTGGAAAGACCTGAGAAATGTTCAGGCAGTGGGATGAACAGAGCTGGGTGGCTACTTAGGCTGGAAGCGTGAGGAAGAGAGAGTGTTCTTGGCGCAAGCAACAGAAAATGACTCTGGCTACTTAAACAAAAGCAGCTTTCCGAGAAGGCCCTCATGGGTGCACAGCCACCTCGAGAAGGAATAGGCCTGGAGATGGGCAGGAATGAAGGGCCACAGGCAGGTGAGGAAGCAGGAAGCAGTGATGTCCCTTGTGCCGAGGATGCTGAGGGTGTCCACCTTGTTCGCAGAGTCCCAGTTCTGTTCTGGTGGCCACTTTACCTCACGTGCTTCTGCCCTAGCTCCAGGGTTAATCGTCTAAGCCAGTTATGGGGGAATCCAGAGATGCGCCCCTTGAGCCAGGGATTCGCTCAGGGGAGGCGCGGGGGGGCGGCACTTATTACGTCACCTCTTCCTGGTTGGTCTTTGGGGCGGGGTTCAGCCCCTAGGTTCGAATTTCTAGGCTTCGTAGGACACCCAACTGCCAATTAGGGACGAGCCCTCCGCGGAGACGGTGGAGGCGGGTCCTCTGGGTCACGCCCAAGGAGCCGGATGTGTGATTGGACGAGAGCGAGCGTCGGTCATCCCAGCAGTGCCTCCTTACTGGGCCGTCAGTGGCGTGGCCCGGATGCCTCAGGCCGGCCGGGGCTTTTGTAGGGTTTTGCTGGGGACGCGCTCGGCGTCCGGGGTGCGGCGGGCCGCGCGAGCCTGCGCGGTCCGTTCGTCCTGCCGAACTCCCCGGGCCGGCCCGTCCGGAGCGTGCAGTCGGAGGCGGGAGAGGCCCAGAGGAGGCCGGCGGCCTCCGCCCCCGCCCCCGCGGCCGGATGTTGTGACTTCTCTCCTCCCACTCGGCCTCACCTCCCTCGGCCTCTGCTGCCTTATAAGGCCGCGCGCGCCCCGTGGCCGAGCGGCTGAGCTCACGCCCAGCACGCAGGTGCGGAGCGAGGCGCCGGGGCGTGGAGAAGCTCCAGGCCGGAGACTGGGGAAAACAAGGCCGAAGTGTTGCAGCACCTTCTACTCAGCGAGCCCGCTTCCTCCACCCCTTCTTCACGCTGCAGGAAGCAGGGCCTGCCCAGACTCAGCGAGTAAGGCAGAGCCTTTTCTGGTCCTGTGCATTCATTCATCAAAAAAAAAAAAAAAAAAATACTTACAAAGCACAAGGCTTTGTGCCAGGCATTGAGCCAGGTTCTGGGAACGCTGTGGGGGCAGCAAGATAGCCAAGCTCCCTGCTTACATGCTAGAAGTGGGGACGATCGAGGTAATGATCCTGTAAATAAACAAATAAATAGACGGCTTCAGGGAGTGACAAACGCTATTAGGACATTAAGACAAAAATAAAGAGAGGTGGGGGAAGGGTCTCAGGGTGTGGCATTTGAGCAGACTCCGCAGAAGCAGCAGCAAGTGCAAAGGTTCTGAGCGTGGAGTAAGTTTGGTGTGTTCAAGATGGCATGCGCAGCCCCAGGGCCCAAGTGGTCTGAAATGAGACAGAAGGAGAAAGGATGCTAGCTAGATCATGAAGGGCTCTCTGTAAACCATATCCAGGAGTTTGAGGGTTTTTTTTTTTTTTTCTAAGCGAAATGGGAAAAACGTTGAAAGGATGACACACTTTAAAAGATCACCCCTGAGGCGGGCGTGGTGGCTCACGCCTGTAATCCTAGCACTCTGGGAGGCCCAGGAGGGAGGATCGCTCAAGGTCAGGAGTGTGAGACCAGCCTGAGCAAGAGTGAGACCCCACCTCTACTAAAAATAGAAAGAATTAGCTGGACAGCTAAGAAATATATAGAAAAATTAGCCGGGGTTGGTGGCGCATGGCTGTTAGTCCAGCTACTGGGTAGGCTGAGGCAGCAGGATTGCTTGAGCCCAGGAGTTTGAGGTTGCTGTGAGCAAGCCTGACGCATGGCACTCTAGCCAGGCAACAGAGCAAGACTCTGTCTCAAAAAAAAATAAAAAGATCACCCTGACTGGTGGACTCTTGGAGGGCAACGAGTAGAAGGTGAGAGATAGCAGGCAGGAGGCTACAGAGTTCCAGGAGAGAGATGATAGTGGCTTGGACTAACAAGGTGACCATGGAGATGGAGGAAAGTGGATGGATCTAGGATACATTTGAGAGTTAAGATATAAGTACCTTGGATGCTGGGCACAGTGGTTCATGCCTGTAATCCTACCACTCTGGGAGGCCGAGGTGGGAGGATTCCTTGCGCCCAGGAGTTCCAGACCAACCTGAGCAAGAGCGAGACCATCTGTACTATAAATAGAAATAAATTAGCCAAACAACTAAAAATAGAAAATATTAGCTGGGTTTGAGGTTGCTGTGAGCTAGGCTGACACCACAGTACTGTAGCCCAGGCAAGAGAGTGAGACTCTGTCTCAAAAAAACAAAAAGATATGAGCTGGGCGAGGTGGCTCACACCTGTAATCCTAGAACTCTGGGAGGCTGAGGCGGGCGGATTGTTCGAGGTCAGGAGCCTGAGCAAGAGCAAGACCCCGTCTCTACTATAAATAGAAAGACATTAATTGGCCAACTAATATATATAGAAAAAATTAGCAGGGCATGGTGGCAGCATCCCTGTAGTCCCCAGCGACTTGGGAGGCTGAGACAGGAGGATCGCTTGAGCCCAGGAGTTTGAGGTTGCTGTGAGCTAGGCTGACGCCACGGCACTCACTCTAGCCTAGGCAACAAAGCGAGACTCTGTCTGAAAAAAAAAAAAAGATAAACATCTTGAAAAAGGTAAACCCGGTGGCCAGTGGGATATAGGGCAGGTACCTCACTTACTGAAGCCTGTTGTGTCCAAGTGAAATCTAAGGGTTAAGTGAGAATATGCAGGTTTTGAGGTCCTAGAGTGGGAGAGAAAGAACCTTCTGGACAGAGGGCTATTACCTGTTCAAAGATCTGTCGAGGGAGGCAGGAAGGGCTCATGCATTCAGCACGGGAGGCAAAACATTGGGAGAGTTTAAAGATGCACAGGCTGCTGGGCATGATGGCCAAGAAGTGAGGCTGAGGCCTTAGGAGGGGCCTGAATCAGGGAGGTCCTTGGAAGTCAAGTAAGGAGTTTAGACTTGCTTTTGAGGTTAGTGGGACATTGTCAAGGAGGTTTTAAGCTGAGGAGTAGGGTGATCTGATTTGCTGTCACAGAGAGCTCTGGACTGCACCGTGGTGGATAAGCTATGGGTCAGGTCTTAGGGGGATGACTTGTTTTAGTGCCCAGAATCTGAACACCTTCCCCTTTGGAAGGTA